CTACCTCCCAGTCCTGAGTGGTATAGGCCTTCCCACCCAAATCCAAAGTCTGAAGAATCTTCCAGGGCCACTTAGGAAGCAGGGGCTTTTCCTGGGCTGGGTTGTAAGGGCTCTGAGTTCATACACAGGGAAATGAGAGCCCGATGGTCAAGCAGGCTTATAATCCCAGCTACTTAGAAGGCAGAGACAGGCACATCCCCCAGGCCAGCCTGAGTGTCAAGACCCTAGCTCAACACACACACACACACACACACACACACACACACACACACACACACACACACACACACACACGGAAGGGGACTGGGACATCAAGTGGTAGAAAAGCTTGCCTAGCACGTATATAGCCCTGGGTTCAAGCCTCAGTAGAAAAGGAAGGAGAGGAGAGGCAGGATAGGAGGAAAAAAAAAGAGAGAGAGAGAGAAATGAAGCGATAAGAAGGGAGAGGAAAGGAGAACTGAAGCCCACAAGGGGCTAGGACTCCACGATGGGCGGAGGGCAGGAAACCTGGCACTACATCCCCAGGAAGGGGACAGGCAAGCATGTAGCTACTGTGTGACCTGGACCAGATAGTTTAACCTCTCTGGACACACGACCCTAGCAGGAGAGGCCTGAGCTCACACAGACTGCGCATGCCCAGTAGGACCTGGCCCCCACCCTCCAAAGCGCCCCCACGGCGGAGCAGCCAGGCCTTCCTGTTTACTCGAGGCCCCTCTTGCGGCTGGGAGGCGACAGCCTTGGCCTCCTCTGCTCCCGGCTTCCTTCCTCTCCCACTTCAGCGCCTCCGGCCCAGGCCCTCAGGAGACCCTGACGCCAAGACCCAGGGATGCAGGCCGTGGGTAGAGGGAGCATCTGAGGCCAGCACCCCAGGAACACTCTCTCTGGGAGACCCTAAAGTTACAGGGCCGGTGAATCCCCCTGGCTGCTTTGAATATTCTAGCACTTTGGAATCAGCTGCTGTCTAGAGTGTCTCTCGTGTTGACAGCCTTCCTGGAGTCCGGCAGGCGGGCAGGAGGACACGCTGACCCAGCCAGGGGCTCCTTTCTCCCTCTGCATCGTCCCGCCCCCCCCCCCACCCCCATCTTCCCTCTGAAAGAGCAGAGCAGAGCTTCCCAGAGCCACCACAGCATGACCCAAGGCCAGGGGCCTGGGTGTCACCAGCCAGCCTGGACCTGCTCACCACAAGGAAGGTTTTACCAAAGGCTGCAATGTTCACCTGCGCAGGAGCGCGCATGCTCCGCAGGTCACAGGTTCCTGTCCCGTTCCAGCCCCTCCAGCAGCTGGCCTCGGAGGCCCTCTCCTCCACAGGCTTAGCCTGAGGCTCTGAAGCCTTCCGAACGAGCTGTCGGTTTATGGAAACTTGAGGAAGTCAGGGCTGAATGTGGAAGGAGGCATTTTCAGCGGGAAAGCTGTCTCCTCACAGGCCAATGCCACAAAATGAGGAGTGAGAGCTGGGCTTGATCAAAAGAAATGAAGCCAGGTGCCAGTAACTCATACCTTTCATCTTAGCTACTCTGGAGGAGGTTGAGATCTGTGGATTACGATTCAGAGTGAGCTCACACAGGAAAGTTTCCAAAGAACCACCAAAAAGCCCGAAGTGGAGTTGTAACTCAAGTGGTAGAGCACTAGCCTTGAGATAGGACCCAGGCTCTGAGTTCAAGCTCCAGGGCTGGCAGAAAATAAATAAACAAATAAATAAGGCTTTACATAATCGCTAGACTCATGCTGTACCCCTGAGCTACCTCTCAGCCAAAATCACCTGAAGGTCCTTCAAGTCTGGCCCCCACCCTCGGTCAGGTGGGTCTCCTGCTGCTGTACCTCCTTTAGCCCATTCCACCCTAGCCCCAGGCCTCAGCCCTCCCCTCTCAATGGGTCTTCTCCACTGGGGGTAGCTCTGCAGAACTGCTCCTCTGCCTCCCCATGCTCTCTGTCCTGTGTGGAACTCCTAGGCATCATCGCGGCCCACGCCTGAGCTCCAGCTCAAGGAACCTCTCTGCTTCTCAGCTCAGAGGTCTGGGCTGGTCTTGATTGACTGGGATGGGATTTTATGAATGAGAGTTTCTCCATGCTGGGAGCCACATCATGGAGGGGAGGGGGGCTTCTGAGCATCTGTCTAATATTTTAGCTAGTCCAGAAGTGTTTGCTAAATGAATGTGTCATGAAACTCAAAGGTAATATTATTAAAATTTGGGGGCAGTACTGAGGATTTCACTCAGGGCCTTGTATTTGCTAGGCAAGCACTGTATCGCTTGAGCCACATCTCCAGATCTTTTTGCTTTTAGATTGTTTGATTGATAGGGTCTCATACTAATTACACAGGATAGCCTCAAACCTTGATCCTTCTCCTTTCATCTCTTGTATAGCTGGGATTACAGGCATGCATTATCATGAGCCACCCAAAGAAAGGTTTGTGATGGTGAGGGCAGCGTGGCAATTACTGTACTTTTAATCTTTTTACACCTTGAAGCTTTCAATATATAGGGTATCTGTATTATATTGATATATTAGATAGATGATAAATGGATAGATACTATCTAGATACTTTTGAGGTTAAAGGAGGAGGAGTGCTTGAACTTAGGATTTTTTTTTCTGTCCAGTCTTGGGGCTTGAACTCTGGGCCTGGGTGCTGTCCTTTAGCTCCTCAGCTCAAAGCTAGCACTCTACCACTTGAGCCGTGGTGCTACTACTGGCTTTTTCTGTTTATGTGGTACTGAGGAATCAAACCCAGGCCTTCATGAATGCTAAGCAAGCCTCTATCACTGAGCCACCTTCACAGCCCTAAACTCAGGAATTTTGAGGTCAGTCTAAGCAATATAGCAAGATTCCATCTCAAGAAAAGAACCGCCAGCCTGGGCAGGAAAGTCTGTGAGACTCTTATCTCCAATAAATCACCAGAAAACCAGAAGTGGTGCTGTGGCTCAAGTGGTAGGGCACTAACCTTGAGCTGAAGAGCTGAGGGACAGCGCCCAGGCCCAGCGTTCAAGCCCCATGACCAAAAAAAAAAAAAAAAAAAAAGAACTGCATCTATATTGAACTTGTACCTTACTTATTGTTCCCTAAGCAATGCAGTACAACATCTATTTACATTTTAAATATTATGGCTTAAAGTCATGACTTTAGTATGACTTAAAGCATACAGGAGGTTGTACAGAAGTTCCATGCAAACACTACACCATCTTAAACAAGGATTACCGGTGGGGGCTCTGCACCCATGCAGACCCTTAAGACAGCCCTGATTTGATTCAGACAAGGTGCACAAGTATGTATGTGCCTAATACAGTACACATGGCAGCTGGTGGTAGTGGCCCAGGAACTGAGCACTCAGGAACTGAACTTTGAAGATTATGGTTTGAAACCAGCCTGGACAGACAAATTTGTGAAGCTCATCTCCAACTGACCAGCAAAAATCCTAGAAGTGGAGGCACGACCCAAGTGGTAGAGAACCAGCCATGAGCAAACAAACAAACAAACAAAAACAAGTGACATCAAGCCCCAATATCGGTGCATGCATGTTTTCTGAGGCCTTTCCTGAGGCCAATGTGGGGGTACACGGAGGATAAGTTGCAGAGATCTTCACTCCCAAGCCCTAGCCTCACAGAAGGCTCATCTTTGACAATACCTGCTTCTACCATTCATTTATGTTCTTCTTTCAATAGACTCACCTTTTATATCTTAAATACCTTTATTTCAAAGGAAAGCTCAAAAGGACCCCTGATGAGCAGAGACAACCCAAGGACAGTGGCCTTCAGATAGGGCCTCTGAAGGCCGCCTTGGCCTCAAAGGGAGCCTGGCCAGGATCAGAACACGTGTTGAGAACAAGTGAGCACCAAATTGAGCCGTGATCACCTCCGTGATGAGGTGATGAGAGAATAGAGGGGAGGTGGTCCTGCATGGGGGGCTTGAGTGTCCCCAACATATCCAGACATGCACCCCCAAGCCAAGCTGCCCTCATCCCCAACTCCTGGAGCCACAGTCACTGACAACCTACACCCCTTGCTCAGGGTGCTCTTGGTATTGGGGCTTGAACTCATGTCCTGGGCACTGACCCTCAGATTTTTCGCTCAAGGCCAGTGCTCTACTATTTGAGCCACAGCTTCACTTCTAGTTTTTTAATATTTCATTGGACATAAGAGTCTCATAAACTGGGTGCTAGTGGTTCACCACTGTAATCCTAGCTACTCAGGAGGCTGAGATCTGAGGATCACAGTTCAAAGCCAGCCTGGGCAGGAAAGTCCCTGAGAAAGTCCCTCTTTTTTTGGGGGGCGGGGGGTCTGGTCGTGGGGCCTGAACTCTGGGCCTGGGCGCTGTCCCTCAGCTCTTCAGCCCAAGGCTAGCACTCTACCACTTGAGCCACAGCACCACTTCTGGCTTTTTTCTTTTTGCTTATGTGGTGCTGAGGAATCGAACCCAGGGTCTCATGCATGCAAGGCAAGCGCTCTACCGCTGAGCCAACTTCCCAGCCCGTCCCTGAGACTCTTATCTCCAATTAACCACCAGAAAACTGGAAGTGGCGCTGTGGCTCAGGTGGTAGAGCACTAGCCTTGAGCTGAAGAGCTCAGGGACAGCAACCAGGCCCAGAGTTCAAGCCTCATGACTGACAAAAACAAAAAGTCTCATAGACTTTCCTGCTTCAGCTGGCTTCAAACCCTCATCCTCAGATCTCAGCCTCCTCAGTAGCTAGGATTACAGGCGTAAGCCACCAGTGTCAGGATCTATTTTAGATGTAGAAACAGCTTGAAGGGTGGGCTGGGACCCGGATGCAAGCATATGAATGGCTCCCTTTAGCCCTCCTCTCTCCTCAAGAAGGTACCCTGTCCTCTCCCCCCCCCCACTTAGTCCCATGCCCTTTGCAAACCCTCAGAGCTTCTGCCACCAAGAAGACAGATTCACTGCCCATGTCACTGGCTAGCATGTGCCAAGCTCACTGCCCAGGAGCCCCAAAGCTCATGGCTTTGTTGTCCTGCTGCCCAGACCGCCCAGAGTCACACATAGAAACCGTGCTCAGAGAGACAAGGGGTCAATAGCAGGGATGCAGAGGAGCCTGAACACGAGGCTCCACGAGCAAAGACCCCAGCCTCTCTGCCACCAGGGGGATCCCAGGCCTGGGGCGGCCTGGTACGGCCTGCGCCAGCACAGCCTGGCACCAGAGCAGGAGGAGAAGCGCGAGGAGATGGAGCCTCAACTGGGTTTGGAAACAAAGAAAAAGGAGTAAAAGCAATGTCCTTCGAAATTCCTTTAGTGCTTCGCCACCCACAAAACAGGATAAGGTGGCTTCCTCCCCGCTAGCAGTGAGGCAGGGCGGAGGCCCTGGGCTCTGGCCAGCACCGCCTCAGGCAGGGCAGGGGTAGGGTGGCTCCGAGCTGGAGAAGGGCTCTACATGGCTACTTCAGAGCATCCAGGTGGGTGCAGACCTGGGAGAAGACACTGTCCACCGTGCCTTCAGCGTTGACCTGTAAGGGAGACCAGCCATGAGGCAGGAGCCTGACCTCCCCCACGGATCAGGCCAGGCTCCCCAAGCCAGCCACCATGACATCAACCTCCCACTGGACTAGTAGGGAAACTGAGGCCCAGGACACTGTGATGAGAGGCAGGGCCAGTCGGGAGGCCCACCTTACACACGATGCCCCGTTTCTCATAGAAGGCAATGACCGGCTCTGTGGCCTTGTAATAGGTGTCCAGGCGCTTCTTGATGGTTTCTTCGTTGTCATCTAAGCGGCCGCTGGTCTCCCCGCGCTTCAGGAGCCGCTTGGTCATGGTTTCGGGGCCCGCGTCCACATACAGCAGCAGTGTGGGCTTTCCGATCTGTGAGAGGCAGTCCGGGAGAGGCAGGCGCCATGTCACAAGGACCCATTCCTGTCCCATCTTCCCATCCAGGTCTCCATCCCTTCTCCAAGGCAGCTTGAGGGACCTTCCCTGACACTTCCCTGTTCAAACTTCCTCCACGGCTCCCAGCGCCCTCTAGAGGAAGCTCAAGTCCCTACCAGCGCCAGAGGCCCTGTGTGGTTCATGCTTTGCCCTCTCCGCCTGGGTGGCCATGCCTGGGCCCTCAGCCAACTCCTTCCCATGCCGGAGACCTGTCCTCTCCCCTCTACTGTGAATCTTTCCCCACACACCCGAGCTTGACCCAGTGCTTATCTCTCTACCTAGCTTTAGCTAAAATTTTGGTCTTCCCAAAGGGTTTTCCTGGATCCAACCCTGGCCCCCAAGATGTCCCTCCTGATAGGATGTAACAAAAAAACCAAGGGACCACCCATGGAGGGAGGGCTGCTGGGGGCATCCAAGCAGCGTCACTGTCATTGGAATAAGAGGGTCTTGTCAGGGATGATGTGGAAGGGTGGGGAAGAGGGGGCCCCATGTCCTCTCCCTCTATTCTGCCACTAGAGTCCCTCCATAGTCTCCCGTACTGACTGACTTCCACACTGAAGTCAGAGCCTGCAGCCAGCCCTCCCCTCTCCTGATCATGGGTCCTTGAGGACAGCAACTCTGCCTCTGTCAGCCTGGGCACACTGGGCACACTGGGCACACACAGCCCAACCTGGGCACACTGAGGAAGAAAGGACCCTGTCCCCGCCAGAGCTGGCAGAGAGACAGAGCCATCGTGACCCCCCCTGGGCCAGGACTTTAACACAAACATGAAGGCCCACCCCTCCCCTGGGCTGGACTGTCCATCTGGCTGGCCCCTCTAAGGGTTTGTGCACAGCTGTCACGCACTCTCCACATCAGGGCTGCATGGGCACCGTCCTTCCGCAGGGTCCGCACCCAGGCTCTCCTGACTCTACCTTCCCTGTGACTGTGGGCAGGCCCCAGGCCCTCACAGGCCTTGGTTCCCTTGGTTATAACGCACTTTGTGAAACACGTTCCTCCCCCCTGGGTGGTTAAAGACTGTAGAGGCTGGGCACCGGTGGCTTATGCCTGTGATCCAAGCTACTGGGGAGGCTGAGATCTAGGATTACAGGCATGAGCCACCAGCGCCTGGCTTCCCAAGCTTCTTTTGCTCAAGGCTAGTACTCTATGCTTGCCTTGCATGCAGGAGGCCCTGGGTTTGATTCCTCAGTACCACATAAGCAGAAAAAGCCAGAAGGGGGCGCTGTGGCTCAAGTGGTAGAGCACTCACCTTGAGCTGAAGAGCTGAAGGACAGCGTCCAAGCCTAGAGTTCAGGCCCCACGACCAACAACAACAAAAAAAAAGGCTAGCACTCTACCACACTTGAACCACAGCACCACTTCTGGCCTTTTCTGCTTCCATGGTACTGAGGAAGCAAACCCAGGGCTTCATGCATGCTAGGTAAGCACTTTACCACTAAGCTACATTCCCAGCCTGTGTAGGACAATCTTTATCCACCCTTAGTGGAGGTTATGACTGCACAGAGACAGCTCCTGGAGAGGGTGGTGCCTCAGTTTCCCAGCCAGGAGATGGGCATTGTTGACTCCCAGGACAGTTCTGGGACCTTAAACCAGAGTGACCAAATCTCGAATCCCATTCTTCTACTTCAGAGAAGCCTTGGCGCCCCCTGGTGTCCAGAGCTGAGAACAGTGGTGGGGGCCCCCAGAGGCCACCACAAGAGTCCTGTGTGGAGATAGTCCCCCACAGCACCCCCATTTTTTAGCCTTCAGGTGACCTCACACAGTTTGTACACATGAGCCATCACAGGATGCCCAACCAAGGCAACAAGGCTGAGCCAGGCAGAACTTCCTTGAGTTCTTGCAGACAGTCAGAGGTCAGGAAATACAGTCTCTGGCTACAGCCCACAGAGGTCTGGGTAGGACTGAGGTGCGGCCTCTTCCTCCTAGCACCTGTAGTTCCATGCCCCCTCCCATGGCCTTGTACAGACAGCATGAGTGTCCCAGCCCACATGTGCACATGTGTGTGCCACACTCTTGGCTTTCTCTGAGTGTGCATTACGCAGTGCCTGTGGCCTTGTGTAAGTGTCCTGTGGTTTTGCATGTTGCCTATGGGCAAAAATGTGCTTGTGTGGGTAGTACCTCCACCCTGTGGACAGTGTTCTTCCATTCGAAGAAGCTGAAAGCCATTGTCCCAATGCCTACTCTTTCCAGCCAGACTCCCCTTGTCCCCTGAAAGAGACTGATGCCCCTTCTTGGCACTCCAGGCTCCAACCAGCCCCAAACCTGCTCACCTCTCCCCACATATCCTGTTTTCCTCCTGTCAGTTGTACATACAGTTCCAGCCCTGCCAGTGCTTCTCCCTACCCCTCTCACTATGTGTTTATGAGGAGCTTTCCCTTCAAGGCAGCTGACAGACCTATCTCCCCACATTGTTCAGATAGGGAAGATGACTGATCCAATGTCTCAAGGGATTGACTTGGACCCTAAGCCTACTATGGCCCTTCCCCTCCATCTATACCTTTTAGACTTCTAAAAATGACCTTCACCTTCACAGGCCTCTCCGGTCACCCTCTTCTCTCTCCCCTCAGCCTGACCCCAAGCCCATGACTTACCCGACGCTCAAACTCTTCTCCTTGCTGCACCTCTCGAGGGTAGCCATCGATCAGGAAGCCATTGGATGTTTCAAGTTTGGCTATCATGGCATCTCGGAGCATCTCCAGCACAGTCTCCTGCAGACAGAGCACCAAAGGAAAAGCCTGAACCTCCCTTCTCCAACCCCTTTTCTAGGGCTTTGCTTGTGCCAGTCCTGCCTCTGAGCTGCCCTCCCGCCTTGAGCGCTCATTGCTCTAGTGAGCCTCCCTCTCCTGTGGCCTCCTCTGACGGAGGGCTTGGCAGGAACATGGTTCACTCTCCATGGAGCCCCTAGACAGCCTCGCCCTGTCCTGCGCCCTGAGCAGAGCAGGCCTTCCCCTCCTTGGTCCGGGCAGGGAACCGACAGTGACCGCTGGCTTGTATTTCCAAGGGTGGCACGGTTCACATGGGCAAAGAAGACTACTGCATTATAAAATTAGGCCCAAATCAGAGGAATCGGAGGGAAGAGGTGGTCTGAAAGCTGGATGAGAGGGAAGATCGCAGCAGGCGGGAAAGGACACGTGTGGTTTGAGTGGACAGAAAGACCTAGGTGGCAGGCGAGGTGAGAGGCGGGGCAGGTCCCCCAGGTCTTGGTCTTTTACCAAGGCCAGTGGGGAATCACAGGAGGCATGGTCAGTGTGCCACAGGCTTTGCTGACTGGCACTTCCTTGGGGCACACAGCACCCTCACACTCACCAGTGGTACCAGCTGGCCCTTCTCCATGATTTCTGCCAACTTCTTGCCCCTGTCTGAGCCAGAGCTGACCTCGGCACGCAGAAGGTCTCCGGTGGAGAGGTGAGTGTAGCCATACTTCTGTACAATTTTCTCACACTGGGTGCCCTTCCCTGAGCCAGGCCCACCTGCGAGGACCCACAAGCTCAGAACTCCTCTGAGAGCCAGGCCTCTAGGGGCTGCTGGGGTCCCTCCCCAAGACCCTCCCAACTTGAGACTCACCCACCACAAAGATAATCTTGCTTTTCTTCAGCTTCTCTGTGGAAAAAGCACGGGAAAAAGATTCAGCCACTTGTTAGAACATAGCCAGAGAGACCGCTCAGAACTGGGGGTGTGTGGAGGGAGAGGTGACAGAAAAGATGATATTCCAGAACAAAAGGGCCTGGAGGCTAAGAACACAGCACAGCTGGAAGTCTGGGTGCCAGCCTCCACCCTGCCTCCCCGTGGGTGGCTGGAGGTCAGTCACCTTATGCCTTCCTATGTCCCTCTTCAAGTTGCCTACTAAATAAACAACAGTCTAGCCTTCTGTCTTGCTATGTCCCTTGTCCCTCCCAGGCCTGGCCGCCCCAACGGTATTAATGTGGAGGAGTTGGAAACCACAATGCATGTTGCCATGGAGATGGTTGCCAGGGAGGAGCTTGCTGTGGTGGGCAAGTAAAATTCCTGTCCAGACAGGGAGGGGAGCTTACACACATTCCGTTTCAAACTCTTGCCTTGTTAGAACTCACAGCCCAGGCTGGGATAGAGCTCACGGGAGAGCGTTTGCCTGCCATCCACAAGGCCCTGGATTCTATTCCTCAGCAACCCCCAAAAAGAAGAACCCACAAACCACTGAGCCAAAAAAAAACTGAAGCCTAGAAAGGAAGTGGCCTAGTCAACATGTCAGAACCCAAATGGGGACCTGTGCTCCACTTCTGACACGTCCCCTCCTGGGGTCAAACGAGCCTGCCTTGCTGTATAATTGCAAAAAAGAAGCACTTGACCCTGACCCTGGAGGTGGTGGGCATGGCAGCCACAGGGAGGGAAGCAGAATGAAGGGGGAGGCTAGGAAAAGCAGAAGCTATGACCCTGTGGCAGCCCAAGTTTGGAGCTAAGGGCAGAAGGCTGACTGCTGGCCTCCAGGGTACCTTTAAGAGCAGCCCAGGCCCAAGGCCCAGGGCCAGGGATTAGACAGGTGGCACTGCCAGAAATCAGGCTGACCCATTCCTGACTCTCTGCCCACCCCATGGCTCCCTGTAGGTCCCAGTGCACAGAAGCTAAGAAAGTCCAGACAGCCTCAGGCCCACACCTCTCTCTCTGAGTGGCAGGAAAAGTGGGTACATTTGGCACACTTGGAGCCTGTCCAGAGGGCCGTCTCCACCCCCAGCCCCTCCCCAGCCCAGAACCCACCCTCTTCAGAAGAGACTCAGCTCCGTAAATGCCAGCGTGGGAGGTGAGCTCTGCCCTCCTCCCCCCAAAACCTTGGGGAAGCCTCATTGTTTCTAAAACTAATCTTGGAGTGATGCATCCTGTGAGAGGCTGAAGGAGGAGGCTGGAGGCCCCAGATGGACCCAGGACCACCTCCAGCCCTTCCCATATCTGCCCTTCACAGACGGGCACAGGCAACGCCGAGACTCATACCTTCCATCTTGCTGAGGTCCTGGGAGCCGGGTCAGCACTCTGCAAGTCAAGGCACGGGGATGTGAGAGCTTCTCCCCACCCTGCCTGGGCCTCCACCAAACCTCACCCACAGCACCAGCAGGTGTGGGCCGGACTCAGAAGCCAGAGGATACAGGGAAGTCCAGGAGGCGGGGTGACCTTGGCAAAGTCCCTTTCCTGTTGGCTTCTATTACCTCACCTATCCCAGGAGAGCTTTGGTCTCCAAGAGGACCAGGGTGAAGGCTGCACAGAGGGGAGGAAATAGGACTCAACCCTGGAAACTCCTAGAGACAGTGTGGGATCAGCATCTGCCCAGACTCCCTGACAACGCTCCTCAGGGCCAGGAAAGCTGAGAGGAGGATGGCACAGAGGCCCAAAGCCTGTCTGGGGGCCATAGCTCTTCCCAGTTGGGGCATGCGCATGTGTGTGTGTGTGTGTGTCTGTCTGTCTGTCTGCTTGCCTGCCTGCCTGTCTGTGTGTCTTCCCTGTCTGTGTGCTGGCTCTATGGCTTAAACTCAAGAGCCTCACACCCTTGCTTGGTTTGTCCACCAAAGGCTGGCACTACCACTTGAGCCACACCCCACTTTCAGCTTTTTTTGTATGTTGTGCTGGTTCTGGGGGTTTAACTCAGACCCTGGGCACTGACCTTGAGCTTTTGTGCTGCTCATGGCTAGTGCTCTACCACTTGAACCAGAGCTCCCCTTCTGGCTCTTTTCTTGTAATAGATAATTGGCGGTAAGAGTCTCACAGACTTTCCTGAAAGCCCTAGTTCTGAACCATGATCCTCAGATCTCAGCCTCCTGAGTCACTAGGATTATAGATGTGAGCCACCCATGCTCAGCCACTTCCAGCTTTTTTGGTGGCTGAGTCTCAAGGATATTTCTGCACCAACCAGCTTTGAACAGGGATCCTCACGTCTCTGCCCTGCACACCCCTCCATACCCCATCTTGGCCCTGCACATACCACACCGCGGCCTCCCCATCTTGGATCCTCTCTCCAACCTGTACCCTCTCCCTCCCAACTTCCTTATTCTAAGGTCTGGGGCCACTGTTCCAGATGTTTCCTTTGAGAAACAACAGACCTAGTCACTGGCTGGCTTACAACCTTCCCAGTATGGCCTCCTCAGCTTCCCAAACAAAGCCTGAAACTCAACCTACCTTATAGAAGCCTTGGAGATCTGACCCCTGCCACCTCAGCAGGTTCACCCCTATCAATTGTCGGTGATTCTGTCACAATGCCCACCATCGTGATGTCTTTCTCTAGGCATTTGTGATCTTGCACTCAATGTTTGGTTGTCTCTTCTCAATTGTGATGGCCTTAGGCCTCAGCTCTGAGTCACCTCTTCTAGAAAGCCTTCCTAGATTTCTCCCTTCACTCCCACATAGGCATGCCTTCTCTGAATCCTTCCTTCCTTCCTTTCTTTTTCTTTCTTTCCTTCTTCCTTCCCTTTTTCTTTCTCTTTCCTTCCTTTTTCTTTTTCTTGGTGTCTGCAGTAAGGCTTGAATTCAGGGTTTGGGCACTGGCCCTTAACATTGTTTTTGTGTGTGTGTGTGTACTTGTCTTGGAGGCTGGATTCAGGGCCTGGGCACTGTCCCTGAGCTTTTGTGCTCAAAGCTAGCACTCTTATCACTTGAACCACAGCTCTACTTCTGACTTTTTGGTAGTTAATTGAGTCTCATAGCTGGGTGCTGATGGATCATGCTTATAATTCCTAGCTACTCAGGAGGCTGAGATCTGAGGATCACAGTTCAAAGCCAGCCCTGGCAGGAAAGTCTGGGAGACTCTTATCTCCAATTAACTACCAGAAAGCCGGAAGTGGTGCTGTGGCTCAAAGTAGTAGAGCACTGGCCTTGACGGGAAAATCTCAGGGACAGTGCCCAGGCCTTAAGTTCAAACCCCATAACTAACAACAACAACAACAACAAAAAGTCTCACGGACTTTCCTGTCTAGGTTGGCTTCAAACTGTAATCCTCAGATCTCAGCCTCTTGGGTAGCAAGGATTACAACTATGAGCCGCTAGTGCCTGGTGAGTGACCTTCAACCTTTTCATCTAAGGCTAGCACGCTATTACTTGAGCCACAGCTCCACTTCCACTTTTGATGGTTAACTGAAGTGTCTTACTTTCCTGACTAGGCTGGCTTTGAACTGTGATCCTCAGATCTCAGCCTCCTGAGTAGTGAGGATTGCAGGTGTGAGTGCCTAAACCTTTCTCTGAAAAAAAAAAATTGTGGCAGGATTGGGATTTGAACTCAGGGTCTCTCCCTCTCTTTCTTTCCCTCTCTCTCTGTCTCAGCTGGTGCTCTCCCCTTGAGGCACACTTCAGCTCCTCTCTGAACTTCGGAAGCTTCACTGGGCACAAGACAGGAAGGACTCGGATACTCTGCTGCACCTCGGGCCTCCACCTGATTGGGCCTGGCTGGGGCTGAGTGTAAGCTGGAAGCTTCCTTCCATCCTGATCACAATCTGGGAGAGAGAGCTAAGTCTTGGAGGATGGGGTAAGGGAGCTCCAGGGCCTGGCAGGGGTCAAGTTCAGGTCTACATTTTCTGCTGCTTCAGGTCTGGTGCCCAGGCCCAGAGCAGGGCCTTCTGCAGCTTTGCTAATGCTGCACTGACTCAAGGCGTGAGTTATCGCTCTTCGTCCTGCTGAGTGTGCAGAAGGAGGTGTCCAGCTGCCAAGAACCCCTCAGCCACCCAGAGATAGGGGACTGCCAGGGGCAGTCAGTAAAGCCCTGAGACGTGCCCTGCTCCCTTCTGGTAACCTAAGCCCTTCTCTGTCCTGGGGACACCTGCCACTTCCTTGGTCCAAAATAACTTGGGTGCTGAGGAGTCCTCCCAGGAGCCAGGGGTCCAGCATGGAATTGAGTTACAAGCAAAGGCCCAGGCCTCATGAGGCCCCCAGGACAGGGCCCCAACAGCCGAGCCTGGCTCACCGGGCAGCCACCAGGGTAGCCTAAGGAACTGAGGCTCAGAGGACAGTGACTTGACCCCAATCACAACACAAGGCTGGCACAGTGCCTAAGAATAGCCCTTATAGAGCTTGCAAGCAGCTAGGGTTCAACTCCTACCTCTACCACTCAACTGTGTGCCCTTGGGCACGCTTATCTTTGCTCTCTGGCTTCTCCACTGCTGCTGAGAGGTCTGGGGTGGGCAGCTGAGCAGCCATGCCCCAAGCACAGACCCCAGGGGATTCTCTCCAACCAGGAGGCTGAGACAAGAGTGGGGGGGGGGGCCCTGCTCCTCCAGCACTTGTAGTGGTGATGGCAGATTAGGCTCTCTAAGCACACGACCCCAGGACTTCTGGGGGTGGGGAGCCAGGCTACAGCTTCCCTTCCCTGGGCCTTAGCTGGGACAAGCCAAGAGCAGGGACCCTGAGTCCCAAGAATGTAGGCTGGGACAAAGGGGTCTGGAAGGCTGGGAGGGGCTATAAGAATCATTCTCTCTCTCCCCCCTCCTCCATCTCTCCTCCCTCCCTTCCTGAGATTTACAAACGCACAGCAGTGTGGCACAAAACCCGAAATCCACAGGCAAGAGAGCACATACAAATACACATAGATCATAACTATGGATACACACACACACACACACACACACTCACACCAAGGGGAGCCCGACACAAACACCCGCCCCTCCCCCCAGTAGCACTTCCCCACTCCCTGCAGATGGCCCCCACGAGGCATCCACATGGGCTGTCGGGCAGTCAGACACTGACCTGGGGGAGGGTGCGGTGGGCGCTGGGGCCAGTGCGTGCCCTGCCCGTCCTCACCAGCCGCCTGCAAAGGCGACTATTTATAAGGCTGTCAGCGCACGGCATGCTGGGAGCCAGCACTCCACGATGGCAGGGAGGGAGAGAGGGAGGGAGGGAGGGAGAGAGGGAGGGAGGGAGGGAGAGGAGGGAAGGGGGACTGGACTAAGCAGAGCCCTGAGGGAAGCCAGGGCAAGACTGGCACCTCACTGTGTCCCAGGGGCTGTGCTCCAACACCTAGTTTTCCATTCCTGTCACTTCCACTGTGCTTGCTTCACTGAAGGGGGCTTCTTCTGTGACAGTAGGGGAAACTGAGGCCCAGCAAGATGAAATACTTTGAATAAAATCCCACAGTGTGATCCAGGTGTCAGCGGCTCACACCTGTAATCCGACCTATCCAAGAGGCTAAGATCTAAGGAGCACAGTTCAAAACCAGTCCAGGCAGGAAAGTCCATGAGCCTCGTATTTCCAATTAACCAGCAATAAGGCTGGCAGCGGAGCTGGGGCTCAAGTGGTAGAGTGCTACTATTGAGCGGGAAAAGCTAAAGGGGAGCATGAGGCTCTGAGTTCAAGCTCCAGTATCAGCACAGTAAATACATAATTTTGGTGAAAGGAAGAATTCAAGGCTGGATAAAGGTTCCTTGCCTGCTTCACCCTGAAGTTCAAAGTTGGGCCCAGGAGGGGGCAGGGTAACGAGAGATGGGAGGGATAAGAGGTGTGTGGGGGGGGGTGGAAATGCAAGGTGGGGTGGTCCTAAGTGGGCCTGGCTTATTAGCATGGCCTCATCATGATCCGCCTCCAGGTGACGGGTACAGGCCCAGATTCAAGAGCTGGAGGCTTCAACTGCCAATTGAGAAGATAGGCTTGGTCCTGGCAGGGTGATTGAAGGTTCTTAAGAAGGGCTGTGGAGAGGTGGGTTACCTTTATGGAGAGGAAAACTAACTTTGGTGATCAACAGCCAATCTCCACAGGGTCCCATCTAAAGCGGTGACGGGGGTGGAGGACCAGGCTCTGGGCCTCCTGCCTTCTGCATCCCCTAATACTCCGAGGGATGAGCTTCTTCAGGGCCCTCACCCAGAAACTGACTGCTCCAGACCCCTACAAACCTTGGCCTTGTGTCCTCCAGTGGGCAAACTGAAGAACTGCAAGTGATCTGGGAGAAATTCTACCCAGAAACCTGAGCTGGTCCAGATTCCCAGAAGTCTTTGCATGGAATTGGAAGCATACCCTTATCTCCAGGCCTTCACAGGGCACCCATGTCAGGACCCAGCAAGGAGTGCCGCCTTCCACATCCTCACCACCCCCTGCCAGTTCCATCCTGGGCCCTACGACCTCCCAGCTTTTGTCCCAACCATTCGTCCCAGGTGACAGCCCCTCCCTGCCCTTTTTTTTTTTTTTTTGTCAGCTGTGGGGCTTGAACTCAGAGCCTGGGCACTCTCCCTGAGCTCTTTTACTCAAGGCTAATGCTCTACCACTTTGAGCCACAGCACCACTTCTTGTTTTTTGGTGGTTAATTGGAGATGAGTCTCACAAGGACTTTTCAGCCCAGGCCGGCTTTAAACCTTGATCCTCAGATCTCAGCCTCCTGAGTAGCTAGGATTACAGGCCTGAGCTACCCGTGTCCAAGATCCCCTTTTTAACAAGGTGTGTAGCATGTAGCTACCTAAGAGCACATCCAGAATGGAAGACAAATGCAAGATGCCATTCTTGTGACCCAGCCCTGGTGGCCCATTATCCTGGCTGGCCTGACGCCCAGGGATAACTCTCTTTCTGGTCTCCAGCAGCCCCTCGGAGATCCCAGCAGGCAGCCAGAGCTTGTCTCACAAAGTCACCCTTTGTTCAGCTTCCTTCCCAAGGACATCTTATCTGCCTAAACAAGTTGTAATCTCCCGAGTCAGGGACCCCTTGTCCCCTGCCAGCCCGGGGTACACAGCCCTTGTGTGAAGAGGTTGGCAGCAATATGAGCTGCCACCGTTTACCACACCCTTGTCAGACTCCTCTCGTGTGCCCTGGCAGAAATTTTCCCTGCCCTCTGGCTCCCAGGCTCAGAGCCGAACTTCTGGCCCTGTCTGAATTGAAGCCACTCGATTGCTCGTTCATTCCCAAGATCCAGGCCTCCCCTCCCTCTCTCCCAGGCTGTCCCCCAAGGCCAACATCTTCCTCCAACCCCTTCCCAGAAGCCAGGCTCTTCTTCCCTCACCAGAACTTGAGCTCCAGGAGGGTGGTGTCTGGGCTTGTTTTATCCACAGAATTGAGATACAGTGACGACTTACCCAAGGTCATACAGACAGGGCGAGGTAGGTGAGGCCAGAAAAGCCAGGTCACAGAGTTGTCAGGCTTAGCTTGAAGACTCACCAGCAAGTTGAAAAAAGCTAATTGCTGCAACTCTGTGAGCTCCCAGCCCAGAGATGCATGCCTGGTTCTTCAGAGCCCTACCTTCCCCAATCTGAGATGGAGAGAGCTAGCTTCATCCAACACACGGAACACAAGGCTGGAGCTTCATTGGGTGTGTTTATTCCTGTACAAACCATTACAAAACCAAGTCGAGGGCTGGCACGGCCCTCATAGCCTGCCTGTGCCTTGAGTCCAGGCTGGTGGCCTCCACCTCCATCCCTCCCACTCAACAGCCTCCACCCAGGCCCAGGTTGGGGGAGATAACTCCTAAGCCCTCGGCATCTCCAAACAAAGACTTCCTGGCACCCCAGTATGGCTGGAACCCTCTTTTTTCCGCTCCAAAGGCTGCAGACTTTCTGCAGGAGACCCTGCCTACAGAAAAGGAGTCCTGGCCCTTTAAGAGGCCAAGTTAATGGCAGCTGAACTGAGGCTAACAAAACATACTGAAGTTTTCCCCATTCTTGTCTGTCTCCCAGCTTTGGGGAGTTGGTGGGGGAAAAAATGCCCTCAAGTCTTCCTGAAGAAAATGAGGAAGGGCCTTCTAGCCTCCCGATATAGCTGAGCTTCTTAGTGAAGAGTGGTAGCTGGGTACAGTCTTAGGACAGGGTGGTCAGTGGAGGGGGAAGAAAGTCTCAGACTTCACATTTGAACCTGTTGTGAGCCTGGGGAGGGGCTTGTCCAAGGTCACTTAGGGAGAAGCCAATACCCGGTCACTGGCTTCTACTTCTTGGGCCTGCCACAACTTCCACAAATTCTCTGGCCTGGTCCAGACAGTTCCTATCCACTCACCCCTCTCATCTCTTTGATGACTGGAATTGAGGGTGTAACACCAAGTTCCCAGCTCCTTGGGATAGGACACCAGCTAAGTAAGGAGTGATCTGGGCTCCATTCCTGGGGTTCTGAACCAAGGCCTCATGGGAAAGGAAATATCCTTAGCCTCAGATTGACTCAGAAAGACCCCTATACCCTGATTGACTAGTCTCAGACCCTGACTGGACAAGAAAGACGACCTGACACCCCTGATTAACCACAAAGAATCCCAATTCCCTGATTGGCCAAGAGATATCTCCCAGGTTGGAGGATTGGCTGAAGGACACACCCCTCCAGGCCCTGATTGGCTGAGAGGTACTCTAGCCTTGATTGGTCAGAAGTTGCCATGGTTCTGAACTGGGTCCAGAACGGCTTCTCCAGTGTCCCTCACGAGGTCCCACAGGCAAGATAGCCTAGGTCCAGGAAGGGTGGGAGAAGGTGATGCCATACAGTTGCGCCCAAGATGAGAAGACCCTCTTCTCAGTGATGAAGCGGTGGTGGTTGCCCTTGCGGCTGTGCTCATTCTGGATGTAGGTGACACACTCATCTGGCCCCTTGGGCTCATAGTAGTGGTAGGGTATGCGCTGCAGGCGGGGCCGCTGGCTGGGGCAGAGCAGATGGGGTATCAGGGCAAGGTGAGCACCAGTGGGGTCCTGGCCCTTCCAGCCCCTCACCACCACAGGGTCTCAGTGGGGGAAATCCCTGCCCCTCCCTGAGCCTCAGTTTTCCACCTGGAAAATGGGCAGAGTGGAATAGGTTCATGACTAAACTTTTTGCTGTTGTTTAATTAAAAAAAAATTGGCTGGTGCCAGTGGTTCACACCTGTAAACCTAGCTACTCAGGAGGCTAAGATCCAAGGATCATAGTTTGAAGCCAACCCTGAGAAGAAATGTCTGTGAGACTCTTATCTCTAAATAATCAGCAAAAAGCTAGAAGTTGAGGTATGGCTCAAGTGGTAGACTGCCAGACTTGAGTGGAAAAAAATAAAGCCAAGCAAAAGGGGCAAATCCTTAAGTTCACGCCCCAGTACTGGGATATAAAAAACAAAAAATCTTTTTGTGTGTGTGCTCATCCTGGGGCTTATTTTTTGTGCTGGTCTTAGGGCATGCACTCAGGTCCTAGGCACTGTCCCTAAACTTCTTTTGACCAAGGCTAGTGCTCTACCACTTGAGCCACAGCTCCACTTCCAGTTTTTTTTTTTGGTAGTTTTATTGAAGATGAGTCTCAACCTGCTTAGGCTGGCTTTGAACTGCAATCTTCACAGGTCAGTCTCATGAATAGCTAGGATTACAGGCATGAACCATCAGTGTCCAGCTAAAATAACAACTATTAATATACAAAGAGGCTGAGCTCGGGATACAGGCCCTTAAGGCAGCTCACATCTCTGAAGAGCAGCATGGACACCCCATTAGAGAGACCCTTGAATACACTCTAGCCAAGATGCCCTGATTCCTCCGATTCATTCTATAACCAGCAACCGGGGGCACTTTCCCCAGAGGGCTCACCTGCAGTAGTCAGGGGGGACCATGCCATAGACGTGCACATGATCACACAACTCCACCGCAATCGCCAAGGTAAACCAGCCTGTGCTCAACCACGAATGGGACTTTTCCCTGGGGGCAGAAGGGGTCACGATGAAGGGAGATGCGGGCAGCAAGGGGAGGAACAGGCATGGAAAAATAGCCAAGCCACCCAGTTTCCCAGAAATTTCCTAGCCACCCTTCAGGACCCTGCCTCCCCCTCCCCCCACCCATTGTCACCTCCGTCTATTTGCACTGTGGGAGTATGCATGCTGGCAGGATGCTTTCCAGAAAGAGGCGGCGCAGGGAGAATGCTCCTTTGAGGGGAAGAGGAGAAGCGAGGCATGCTTGGAATAAGGTCTGGGTCACAGCTGGGCAGGCTGGGAGTGGCTGTGACCACAGCATGCGAAAAGCGCTATGCCAGAGATAGAATCAAACTCCTAAAGGGAGGATTGATTAGAGAAGGCTGCGCTGGAGGAAGCATAGCACAAACCAAGGCGTAGGCCAGCAGCCAAGAACCTGCCTCACTACAGATGCCACCAGTCATGGATGGCCGGAGCACTCACACGTGTGTCAATTACACCCTGGGCTTCTGGGGAAGTGTGAGAAAAACAATGTAGAATATGTCATTGATGTTTTATGTGTCTCTGAAAATATTTTACATTTATGTAGTGGAATGTTCTTTGTCAGCAAAACTGGCAAAAGAGAGAGAAATTACCAGTATCAGGAATAAAGAATGAAAACACCGGGCTGGGAAGGTGGCTCAGCGGTAGAGCGCTTGCCTTGCATGCCTGAGGCCCTGGGTTCGATTCCTCAGCACCACATAAGCAAAAAGAGAAAAGCCGGAAGTGGTGCTGTGGCTCAAGAGGTAGAGCGCTAGCCTTGAGCTGAAGAGCTGAGGGACAGCGCCCAGGCCCCAGAGTTCAGGCCCCAGGACCGGAACCAAAAAAAAAAAAATAAAAATGAAAACACCTATAGATATTTAAGGGATCATAAGAAAATTCCAAGCCAGGTGCCAGTGACTTATGCCTGTAATTCTTGCAACTCAGGAGGCTGAGATCTGAGGCTCAAGATTTAAAGACAGCCTGGGAAAATAAAGAGACTCTTATCTCCAATTAACCAGCAAAAAGAAGTGAAACTGTGGCTCAAGTGGTAGAGCTCTAGCCTTGAGTGAAAAAAAAAAAGAGACAGTGTCCCTTTGAGTTTAAGACCCAGTAGCAGCACGCGCACGTGCGCATGTATACACACACACACACACACACACACACACACACGTGCGCATGCGCGTGCGAGGGAAAAAAAAAACCAAAAACTCTTCCAGAGACAGGTAGCTCAACACTTGTAATCCTAGCTACTCAAGAGGCTGAGATTCAAGAATCCAGGTTCAGAGCCAGCCTGCATAGACAAATTATAGAGACTCATATCCAATTAACCTACAAAAAGTTGGAAGTAAGCTGGGCGCCGATGGCTCACGCCTGTAATCCTAGCTACTCAGGAGGCTGAGATCTGAGGATTGTGGTTCAAAGTCAGCCCAGGCAGAAAAGTCCATGAGACTCTTATCTCCAATAAACCACTAGAAAACCGGAAGTGGAGCTGTAGCTCAAATGGTAGACTGCTAGCTTTGAGCTGAAGAGCTGAGGGACAGTGCTTAGGCCCAGAGTTCAAGCTCCACGACCGACCAAAAAAAAAGTTGGAAGTAGAGCTGAGGCTCAAGTGGTACAATGCCAATTTTATGTGGAAAAAAAATAAAAATAAAAGCAGGAGGCCCTGAGTTCAAGCACCAGTTCCAGCACTACAAAACAAAGGAAGAAAAAAAGAAAATAAGGGGAATGCTAGGCACTGGCAGCTCACGTCTGTAATCCTAACTACTCAGGAGGCTGAGATCTGAAGAGAGTGGTTCAAGGTCAGCCTGAGCAGTAATGTCTGTGAGATTCATATCTCCAACTAACTTCAAAAAAGGCAAAAGTGGAGCTGTGATTCAAACAGTAGAGCTCTAGCCATGAGCAAAAAAGCTCAGGGATAGCATCCAGGCCCTGAGGTTAAGCACTAGGACCAGCACAAAAGAAAGAAAGAGAGAAAGAGAAAGAAAAAGAAAGAGAAAGAAGAGAAAAAGAAAGAAAGAGGGAAAGAAAAAGAAAAGGAAGGAAGGAAGGAAGAAAGGAAGGAAGGAAAAGGAAAAGAGAAAGAAGGAAATGATAAAGGGAAAAGGAAATTTCAAACAACCTGTGTATATAAATGTAACAATTCAGATGAAGTCAACTTCATAAAATCCATATACTAGGGCATGGTTAAAGTGGGGAAAAAATCTCAGCAAACTAGGAGAACTTCCTGAGAAATTTCCTGATGAAGGGAAGCCACCACAGTTACCACTTCTAACACAATTGACATTGTACTGAAAATCCTCACCATTGCAATAGGGCAAGAAAAAAGAAACCAGAGGCATAGTTTAGAAAGAAGAAATAAAATTGTCCTTATTTGCATTCAACGTGATTATTAAAAACTTTCAAAAAAATATCTTAAAAAAACTATCAGTGAGCTAGGCAGTTACAAGGTCAACAAAAACTTTAGCATGGCTAAAGTGGTAGAGTACTTGCCTTACAAGTACAAGACCCTAGGTTCAAATCTCATACTACCAAAAAATTTCCACTATTTAAAAAATAAAAACAAGCCAGTGCTGGTGACTCACGCCTGTAATCCTAGTTACTCAGGAGGCTGAGATCTGAGGATTGCAGTTCAAAGTCAGCCTGGGCAGGAAAGTCTGTGAAACTTATCTCCAATTAACCACCAGAAGACCGGAAGTGGCACTGTGGCTCAAGTGGTAGAGCGCTCGCCTTCAGCTGAAGAGCTGAGGGACAGCGCCCAGGCCCAGAGTTCAAGCCCTATAGCTGACAAAAAATAAATAAATAAAAACAGTATCATATATAATAGCTCCAAAATCTAATAAAATATGTAAAACGTTATATGGTGAACATATTGTATCAAATGAAATACAGTAAAATACACTTTTTTTTTGGTCAGTTGTGGGGCTTGAACTCTGGGCCTGGGTACTGTCCCTGAGCTCTTCAGCTTAAGGCTAGCGCGCTACCTCTTGAGCCACAACACCACTTCTGGTTTTCTGGTGGTTAATTGGAGATAAGAGCCTCATGGACTTTTCTGCTCTGTCTGGCTTTGAACTTCAATCCTCAGATCTCAGCCTCCTGAGTAGTTAGGATTACAGGCGTGAGCCACCGGCACCTGGCAAAGTGAACAATTTTTATTTCTTTTTTTTTGGTTGGTATGGGGCTTGAACTCTGGGCCTGAACGGTGTCCCTCAGCTCTTCAGCTCAAGGCTAGCGCTCTACCACTTCAGCTACAGCGCCACTTCCAATAATTCTATCCATTTATTTTTTAGTTTTTGGCAGTGGTAGGGCTTGAACCTAGGGTGTGGGCACTGTCTCTGAGCTCTTCAGCTCCAGGATAGTGCTCTACCACTTTAAGCCACAGCACCACTTCTCAAAGTGAACAATTTTTAAAAGGACTTTTTAAATGTGGCTACAATGAATTTTAAATTACACATGGGCTCACATTGAATTTACATTGGAGCATGCTAATTTAAGTTTTCAAGGGAGATTAGTCAGAGAAGAAGGGCATACTGGGATGATGGACCTTTAGAACACAGCGTGCTGGGAGTAACTGTGCTTAAAGCAAGGCATGCTGGGAAGAGTCAAGATTTTACATATGGTGCAATGGTATAGAAAGCCTTCCTAGAAAGTCGCTAGATGATGCTGTATAACCTTAGAGCAGAGCATGCTAGGAGCCCTTGTTCCCTCAGATGATGCATGCTGGGAGAAAGTCTAAGGAAGATAAAGCCATGCATAGGACACGGGAGATGACTCTGTTAACAGCTGGACATAAAGAGAACTTTCTTTGGAAAACTGACTAGAATGTGACAAGAAATGATTATATCCCCAGAGCAGTGCATGCTGGAAGCAACAGGCCATAAGGCAGGGTCTGAGAGGGAGGGAGCAGGCATGATGCTGGTACCTGTCCTTGCCCGTCTCACCCCGGAAGAGGTCGTCAAACTGTTGCATGCGGTTGGGAGAGACGGCGTAGGCCTCCATGTTGGGGAACACCAGGCCTGCCCGCTGGATGACACGCACAAGACTGCCTTGGGGCTTCTGCATCTTGCTTGGGGGACCCCAAAAGATGAAGACAGTTTCAGGGGTCCGATTGACAAACTCCTGGGGCCTGCGCAGCACCCGAAACACACTGGAATGAGCCACCACTCGGAAGGTGGTTTTGTTGCCTACGTCAGCCGAGTAGCCTGTGGTGGGTGCATCATTCATGCGGATGGTGCACTCAGCCCGCTCGATCTCTGGGCCCAGTTTGGTGCCCAGAAGGTGGCTGGAGCTGGTGACAATCACACACTGGTGGCACCGGGAAGGCAGCGTCTGTAGAGTAAAGAAAATCAACAGTATTAGCCAGGTGCTGGTGGCTCACGCCTGTAATCCTAGCTATTCAGGAGGCTGAGATCGAAGGATCAGGGTTTGAAGACAGCCCAGGCAGAAAAGTCCTCATGAGAATCTTATCTCCAATAAACTAATCAAAAAAGCCAGAAATGGTGCTGTGGCTCAAGTGGTAGATCGCTAGCCTTGAGCACAAAGAGGCTTAAAGATAGTGCCCAGGCCCTGAGTTCAAGCGCCAAGACTGGAAAAAAGAAAAGAGAGAGAGAGAGAAAGAAAAGAGAGAAAGAGAGAGAGAGAGAGAGAAAGAAAGAAAGAATGAAAGAATGAAAGAAAGAAAGAAGGAAGGAAGGAAGGAAGGAAGGAAAAGAAAAAAGAAAATCAACAGTATCACCATCAGTCTTGTAGACTCGAACTCTATATATCCACACCTCCATAGTCAGGAACAAACCATTCAACATTCAACAAATATTTATAACCAGCTTGCCTAGTGGCCAAGTACTAGGCACAGAGTACTGAGCAAAAACAACTTGCTCAAGAGCCAGGAGCTGGTGGCTCACACCTGCAATCCTAGCTACTCAGGAGGCTGAGATCTGAAGCCAGCCCAGGGCAGACAAATCTTGAGAAACTCTTATCTCCAATTAACCAGCAAAAAGAAGGAAGTGGAAAGTGGAAGCACACTAGCCTTAAGAGCAAAAAAAGCTAGAAGAGGATACAAGGTCCTGAGTTCAAGCACCAGTACCAGCACCAAAGAGAGAGAGAGAGAGAGAGAGAGACAGACAGACAGACAGACAGACAGACAGACAGAGCCAGACAGACAGTGAATATAATAATGTAATACAAGCTAGGAAAAAGGCAGCCCAGGCACAGGTGATCAGGAGGGACCAGGACAAAGGCTCCTTTAAAATGGTCATTCGGGAGGCCTCTCTGGGTAGAGTCCTGAAAGGTGGAAAATATTCCAGGAAGGAAAAATAGAAAATACAGACCAGGGCTGGGAAGGTGGCTCAGTGGTAGAGTGCTTGCCTTGCATGCATGAGGCCCTGGGTTCGATTCCTTAGCACCACATAAGCAGGGGAAAAAAAAGGCTGGAAGTGGCGCTGTGGCTCAAGTGGTAGAGCACTCGCCTTGAGCTGAAGAGCTGAGGGACAGCACCCAGACCCAGAGTTCAGGCCCCACGACCGGACCAAAAAAAGAAAATACAGACCAATGTGGAAATTTAGGTGGTACCTTAGAAACCAAAAGGGGCTGAATTAGGCCAAGCTGACAATCCAGAGAACTGGGCATTCTCCGCTGGAGTGCAGAACCTGGATTTGAACCCATGATGGCATGACACAGATTTCCAGCTTGAGCATCAGCTGAGAATGCCTCTCCTGGCCGGCTCCCCATCTCCACCAACAAGCCTTCCTGACAGCACATCCTGTTCTGTGCACAGAGGCCCAACACAGGCTTTCCTGGCTCTCAGGAGCTCCCATCAGGTTGGAAGCAGCTACAAACCAGGCTCATCTCCTTCCTCTCCACCCCACCCACACTCTAGTCCCCACTTTCTCCTCTCTCCTTTTCCTATTCTTTGGGTTCTCAGGATACAGAAAGACTCAATTAGATGCCAGTCTATCTCTAAACACCTGCTAATGGGCCTCTTCCTAGTGCAGATGTGTCCAGGCAAAGGCCCTAGAGAAAATTCAGTGAGGGAGAAGAGAGAGCTCCTACAGGGAGAACTCCAGAAATACAACAGCTACTCAAGTCAGGAAGACAGAGGAGACAGTGCTAAATCCTAATACTAGATCAATAAGGAGCCAGCAGGAGTTGACAAAATACTTTGGCTCTCTCTCACATGCTGTGTGCCCTTGGACAAGTGATTTTACCTCTCTGAACCTTCGTTACCCCAGTTCTTCAAGTATGACAATAATACTCAACTCACAGGATGTGCCTGAGAGTTGCTAATGATCACAGAGCCCGACACTTTTTTAAAAAAAGCAGCCAATATTACTTCTGCTTTTGTGTTGTCCAGGATCCCAGTATCCTGCTCTCAAGTCTTGGCAGACACCAGAGAGACCCCATAAAAACCAGAGACATACTTCTACAGCAACCATGACTTGGCAGATGGTAGAATAATAGCACTGAAAAGAAAACCTTGTAGCATGCCAGCCAGTGAGTGAAAGCAAGCATCAGAGAGCAAGTTCAAGTACCAGTTTCGGACTCAGCAAAACTAAACTAAATAAATAAAACAAATAAAACCTTGGAAAGAGTTGAGGCCCAAGTTGAGCACCTGTGGCATACACCTGTAATTCTATCTACTCAGGAGGCTGAGATCTGAGAACTGAGGCTCAAAACCAGCCCAGGCAGAATAACCTTGAGACTTTTATCTTCAATTAACCAGGAAAAAGCCAGAAAGAGAAATGTATCTCAAGCAGAACACCAGCCTTGAGCAAAAAAAAAAAAAAGGGACAGTGGCCAGGCCCTGAGCTCAAATCCCAGCACTGGCAGGTACAGGTATGCATGCACACGTGCACACACACACGCACGCACGTACGCGCACACACACATACATCAAGGACTACTGAAAGGCAGGGAACTTATTCAAGGTCACACAGCATGCAAGGGGCTAAAGTCAAAGAGGCTGGAGCCTTGACTCTTATGGCTCATCCTTTCCTTCAAGAAGAAAGAGGTGAACAAGGCGCCGGTGGCTACGCCTTTAATCTAGTTACTGAGGAGGCTGAGGTCTGAGGATCACGGTTCAAAGGCAGCCTGAGCAGCAAAATCTGTGAGACTATTGTCTCCAATTAACACCAAAAAAGCAAAAAGTGTCCAGATACCCATGGCTCACCCCTGTAATCCTAATTGCTCAGGAGGCTGAGACCCGAGAATCATGGTTCAAAGCTGGGGCAGGAAAGTCTGTGAGACTCTTCTCTCCACCAAAAAAACAAAAGTGGAGCTGTGGAAGTGGAATTGCTCAAGTGATAGAGCACTAGTCTTTTTTTTTTTGGGGGGTCCAGTCGTGGGGCCTGAACTCTGGGCCTGGGCGCTGTCCCTCAGCTCTTCAGCTCAAGGCTAGCACTCTACCACTTGAGCCACAGTGCCACTTCTGGCTTTTTTCTTTTTGCTTATGTGGTGCTGAGGAATCGAACCCAGGGCCTCAGGCATGCAAGGCAAGCGCTCTACCACTGAGCCACCTTCCCAGCCCCTAGAGCACTAGTCTTGAGCAAAAAAAGCTCAGGGAAAGCTGGGGGCCAGTGGTTCACACCTGTAATCCTAACGGCTCAGGAGGCTGAGATCTTAGGATCATGGCTCAAAGTCAGCTAGGGCAGGAAAGTCAGTGAGACTCTTATCTCCAATGAATCCCAGAAAAAGCCAGAAGTGGTGCTGTGGCTCAACTGGTAGCACACTAACCTTGAGCAAAAGAAGCTTAGGGAAGCCGGGCATTGGTGGCTCACACCTATAATCCTATCTATTCAGGTGGCTGAGATCTGAGGATCACAGTTCAAAGTCAGCCTAGGCAGGAAAGTCTGTGAGACTCTTATCTCCAATTGACCATCAGAAAACCGGAAGTGCCCCTGTGGCTTAAGTGGGAGAGCACTAGCCTTGAGCTGTAGAGCTGACAGTACCCAAGCCCAACCAAAAAAAAAAAAAAGAAGAGGGGTGGGAAGGTAGCTCAGTGGTAGAGTGCTTGCCTTGTATGCATGAAACCCTGTGTTCAATTCCTCAGCACCACATAAGCAGAAAAAGCCAGAAGGGGTGCTGTGGCTCAAGTTGTAGAGCGCTAGCCTTCCGCTGAAGAGCTGAGGGACAGTGCCCAGAACCAGAGTTCAGGTCCCACTACGGACAAAAAGAAGAAGGAGAAGGAGAAGAACAAGGAGGAAGAAGGAGAAGAAGCAGCAGCTCAGAGACAGTGATCAGGGTCTGAGTGCAAGCCCCAGGACTGAGAGAGAAAAAGCAAAAAAAAAAAGAGCTGCAAGTGGGTGTGTGGTAGAGTGCCAGCCTGGAATGAAAAAGGCTAAGGGATAGTACCCAGATCGTGAGTTCAACACCTAGTGCCAGCACAAGAAAGAGAAGGGGGGGGGGGGAGGAGAGGGGAGAGAGAGAGAAAAGGAGGGAGAAATGCAAGGTGCTAAAGTAACAGAGGCAAGAGCCTTGACCCCAGGGCTCGCCATCGTTTAGGAGGGAAGAGGTAGAGGAGGAGAGGAGACAGCACCACTGATGGGCAGTGGGGAGGAGCCACAGGCACCAGGCAGCTCTCAGGGATCTCTGGCTGTTCTACCTTGTTGCCAAGAAGGGGGATGTAACCGTGGCTGATGCTCCACTTCTTGAGGTTGACAGGCCGACGTGTGCGGCCCCGCAGAGAGCCGTAATGGAAGACCTCATTGGCACTGTTGGAGCTGTAGAGGATGAGGATGGTGATGAGGGCAAAGAGGATCACGAACACTGCTGACCGCTGCTCCTGGAGAGGAAAGAGGCTGTTGAGGGCCCAGGCACCCAGCGGGCTTGGCATCTCACCTCCTTGCTGCCCACCATGCCTGGCTCCCTCTGGCTTTTCACACCAGAGCAGTCAGGCCCCCAACTCCTCCAGCAACCTGAGGTTCCCCCTAGCAGAGCACTGACAATCTGCTACCCCCTCAGACTGGGTCCCTGAGGACTGGGACAGGGTCAGCTTTGTACCCAGGTCCCAGGTCTGCAGCACAGGAGGTGCTTGGGGTGGGTTGGCTCCAGTGAATTGGGTGTAGGGACAGGATTCCCTCCAAATGCAGCTAAAAGGATGCTTAAGAGACAGGTGAGGGTACCAAATTAGAGGGCTTGGGTCTTCTCCAAACCATTCTCCATAACTTATCCTTATATAGTCAGTTTTCCAGTACCCGAAGCTCCCAATCCAGAGATTTAACCAACCAGGAATCAAAAATGTAGTTAGCAGGGCCCCAGTGACTCATGCCTATAATCCTGACTACTGGGGAGGAGAATTGCAGTTTGAAGCCAGCAGGGGCAAACAAAGCTGAGAGACTCTTATGTCTAAGCTACAAAAGGCCATACCTGGAGGTATGGCTCAAATGCCTACGAGAGAAAAGGCTGAGCAAGGAAGTAAGGCTTTGAGTTCAAGCCTCAGCGGGCACACACCTCTGATGGCTGTATCTTTACTGAACATGCACAGACTTTTCTTGTCATTACTCCCTAAATAACACAGTATAACAATTCATATAGCATATACATTGTATTCAATATTATAAGCAATTTAGAGAGGATTTAAAGTCCACTGGAGAATCTATGTAGGTAATATGCACATTCTCAGCTATTTTTTCTAAGGGACTTGAGCATCCCTGGATTTTGTATCCTCAGGAGATTCTAGAACTAGTCCCCCATATATATAAGGGAACAGCTATTTGTCCAAGCCCTTCTATTTGCCTGCTCTGTGGAAATGGATGTAAGCCCTCTGCATATTTTCCCTTGGCAGTAGAGGATGCTGGGGATGCTGCATTTGGGTCTGGGTGCTGGTGGGCTTACGAGGAGGACTCCTGCAGTGCCCACAGCTTCGCAGATAAAGGCTTTTTCCCCAGTGCCCAGATTAGCAGCTCTGAGCAGCCTAGGTGGGCACCCCAGTGACTCTGGCTCCTTCTGTGAGCCTGCTTCCCCCAAGTCCCACCCTTCTAGAGCACTCAGCTGCCCGCAATGCCCACAGGCAAACAGCTTTCCTTCCCAGAGCTGGCTCCATCAGGGCCTGGCTCTTAGCCCTTGGGTGGAGGCACTCTTTAAGGTTACATCCTGATAAATGCCTCAGAAATTGAAAATATACGAAATGAGAAAATACATTCAGTAGTACATGTAGCCTTCTAACTGCGAGTGCTGATGAGTCCCTCTCATGAGCACAGGGCTTTCTGGAAGTGGTGAGTCAGTGCCTTGCCAAGTATCACAAGAGTGTCACACTGCATATTACTAGCCACAGGAAAGATCAAAGTTCAAAGTGTAGTCCTTACTGATTGCATGTCCCTTTTATACCATTAAGAGTCAGAAATGACAGGGCTGGGAAAGCGGCTCTGTGGAAGAGTGCTTGCCTTGCATGCATGAGGCCCTCGGTTCAATTCCTCAACACCACATAAGCAGAAAAAGCCAGAAGTGCTGCTGTGGCTCAAGAGGTAGAGCGCTAGCCTTGAGCTGAAGAGCTGAAGGGCAGCGCCCAGGCCCTGAGTCCAAGCCCACACACACAAAAATCCTAAGTCAAATCACCACCCTGTCTGTGACATTTATATTTCTTAGTTTCAATCCTTTATTACTCCAATATCCAGAAAACACTGACATCCAGAGTACTGTGAACACTAGGCTACCACAACCATCCCCTACCTCCAGATGTCACCCTCTGCCGAAGGCTATCATGGAAAAAGTGGTGGAGGCTTGGCACACAGTAGGTGCTCAGGAAAGCATGAATAAATAAATGCTGGAGAATCTTGATATCATCTGTGATGATCACACTGCATCATCTTCTGAACTCTGCCCTCCCCCCAGCCCCCTGCTCACTTCCGGTGCTCCATCCCACCTCCAGCGCTCCATCTCCTAGTCACCTTTACCTGACTGATAGATGTAGAACAACAGGGGAGAGGCAGGAGCTTCCCAAAGCCACTCAGCACATCAGTGGCCACAGCAGGACTGGAACTGGAATGCCTCCCAGGCCAGCAGCTCCCTTTGGCAGGTTAGAGAGTCATGGGGGTCGCGTTGGAGGCAGGTCCAAAGGAGCCCATTTCACAGTGGAAAGTGAGAGACTCGGACTGGGATAAGGAAGGAAGGGGACTTACTTTGTTGCTACTCATCTCTCTCCGGCGTCTGCTGAGGGGTAGGGGCCAGCGTCCTGCAGGTGGCCCGGGGGGCAGGGATGTGGGGTCACACCTGCAAGCCACCAGAAAGGATTATGGCCTGGGCACCCTCTGCTGGGTCCAGCCGGTCACAGGCCTCGCCCTCTCAACCCTGACATCTCTCCCACATGCCCAGAACTTTAAGGCTCAGGGTGGTATCCAATTTACAGAGAGAGATACTGAGGGGCAGAAAGGGAAGGAATCAGTCTGAGCTGGTAAAGGTGGAACGCTGTGTGGTTCCACATCTACTTTCTGAACACTAATGGCAGAAGCCTTGTTCGCATCCTGCTCTAACCTCCAACATCCCTTGTAGGCCTCCAAACTCCTCTGCTGGTTCCCTTGGGTCTGAGGTCAGCCTTTCTGAGACTCTCCCTCCAACACCCTCCTGACTCCCACTCATTCTTCAAGCCTAGGGTAGACCAGCAACTTCCTGGGTCCTCCTCCAGCCTGGGAGCTCCTGGAGGCACAGTTCACACAGATTCTCCCCCTGGGCCTCCACAGCTGCAGGGACAGAAGGAGGTACACATCCATCAGAGAATTCAGACATTGGCAAGTGCCATCCAGGGGTCCAGGGCAGTCACAGAGGTCTAGTCCTGGCTCGGAAGACACTACCAGCGCTGACACTCCTCATCGGTCCAAGGCTCTGGTCTCAATCCTGGACAGCTTTCCTTCTGGCCCCAGCCAGGGCCTGGGGAAATCAGGCTCCTCGCTCCCGGGCCCTCCCTTCTCTCCTCCCCAGGGCCTGAGCCCTTCTGCACGCTTGAATTTCCCCACCTGTAACCCTGGCATGCGAACTTGCCTCCAGTCCACCTCCACCAGGCTGGGCCAGAGAGTGGAAAAAGGGCCTGCCTGGGGGAGAGGGCTCCCCCGCTCTGTCCCCTCCTGCAGAGGCCTCTCCCTCCGGCCACTATCTCCGCCCCCTGACCTAGCAGCTGGTTAGCTGTTTACTCCCACGCCAGGAATAGCCCCAGAAACTCAGGCCCAGCTCCACACACCCTGCTTCTGATTGGCCAGTCCCTGGCCCCGCCCCTCCCTAGCGCCCCACCCACCCCAGTCCAGCCCAAGGAGACCCTCCCCCCCAACTCCCATGGATCGGGAAACTGAGGCATATCAGAAAGGGGGAGCGCTTGTCCCCTCAGCCCTGCGGCCTTGGCCATTCAAGGCCCTGGCCCAGGACCAGACCTTCCTTCTCCTGAACCCCCCCTTCCTGTGCTTGCCCCTGCGCTCCGGGCACCTGGCAAGCTCCAGGTCCCAGCCCACGCCCCCACTTTCCCACCTTTGCCTGAGCAGTGCCCTCAGCCAGGACCACGGTCCCCCTGGTCAGCCCCGTCACAGTCCTGCTCTGAGAAGGCCATGGTAAAGTGACAGCAAGTCAGGTCAGGCGCCAGTGCCAACTGTCGGGTCCACCACTTACTGGCTGGGGGGCTTCGAGCAAGCCATGTGACCTCTCTGAGCCTCAGTTTCCTCATCTGTGGAATGGGATAACAAGAACAGGGGAAGGCGAGGTTACTGGGACAATTCAAGTCGACCCGGCAAGGGGCGCACTGGGCGTGGAAGTGCCCCATAAGGCCAGCAGCCCTTAAGTCTTGGGTTTTAGGGGTTTTTCCCTTCTCCACTGCTCAAGGCCCGTGTCTCCATGATGAGGCTGCCCGTGAACACCCCCACCTCGCCCGCCCCCCCGCCAGGACTCAAGGCCCGGCCCTGGCATCGCCCCGCTGAGCTCCCACTCTCCATTTCACAGATGGGGAGACTGAGGCTCAGAAAGGAGGCCTTGCGGCAGCCCGAGCCGGCTTGGGGAGCCTGCTTCACAGGACAGAACCCGGCGGGGTCCCCCGGGAAGAAGCCCGGGGGTGCGGGGCGCGCGCCGAGCACCGGCCTGGCGGCGGGAAGCAGACGGGGGGGGGGGGGGGGGGCTGGGCCCCGGGGCGGAGGGCGGGACGCCCCACGATGCCCCCTCCGGGGAGATGGGCCCCCACTGCCCCCTCCGCGCCCCAGGCTCCGGGAACCTTAACCCCACCCAGCCCGCGGGCGAAGCGGGCGGCGCTGAGCCCGGTGAGTGGGCGGCGGGAGGCCGCGCGAGACCCGGGGTCTCGGGGTGCGGCTACCCAGAGGGAGGGAGTGCAGGGGGGACCCCGGAGCCCCGCGTCCATCCCCTCCCCGGCGGCCCCCGATTTCCCCTGTGCAGGCAGAGCCCCCCCACGGCGCCCTCCGCTCAGCCCCCCGCTCACCTCCGCTGGGGAGCGCCGGGCCCCCCGCGGCCCCCGACCCCCCTCACATGGCGCCGGGAGCCGAGAGCCGGGGTCTGCGCCGCTCCGGCCGGCCGCCCAGGCCCCGCTGCAGCCCCGGCCCGCGGGGTCCTAGCGCCGCGCGCCGCCGGGCCAGGCCGGGAGGTGGGCGGAGCCTCCGGCGGTGGCCCCGCCCCGGAGGCGCGCCCGAGGGAGAGGCGCGGGCGCGGAAGGCGGAGGGGCGGGCGAGCCCCGTCCTGCGGCCCCGTGGGCGCATCAGTCACCCCGTCTGGACAGCTCACTGTGACTGTGACACTAACAACAGCCTTCTGAGCCCTTGTACGGTGAGTCTGGCCCACTTCTCACTCTCCTTACAAGCATCAGGTCCCTGGATGGGGAAACTGAGTCCCAGAGTGCTCTGGGCTGGGACGCTGATAATTTCTCTCGGGACATCCCAACAGAGAGCCATCCTTCCCAGAGCCTGGGAACGCAAAGTCACCCCGGGCGAATTTAAAGCTCACATACAGATTCAAGACCAGAGCACTCCGATTTGTAGCCTTACTACCTGCCTTACTTCTTGTTTGCCTCTGGGAACTGGAGAGAATGAGGATTTAAATATATCTTTTTTTTCTTTTTGAGGGTTGCCAGTGGCTCACACCTGTAATCCTAGCTCCTCAGGCCGCTGAGGTCTGAGGATTGCAGTTCAAAGCCAGTGTGGGCAGAAGTTTGTAAGATCCTTATGTCAATTAATCAGCAAAGTGCCAAGAAGTGGAGCTGTGGCTCAAGTGGTAGAGCACCAACTCCATGTGGGGGAGCCAAGAGGGAGGTCAAAGCTCTGAGTTTAAACTCTAGTACCAACACACACACGCGCGCGCGCACACACACACACACACAAGCACACTAAGCATTAATCACATTATTTTATGTAACAGTGAAAAGTAACTTAAGTAGTCCTTGTTAAAACCAGGCACCAGTGGCTCACATTTGTAATGCTAGCTACTCAGGAGGCTGAAATCTGAGGATCACAGTTCAAATCCAGCCAGGCAGAAAGGTCCATGAGACTCGTATCTCCAATAACCAGCAAAATACTGGAAGTGGAACTGTGACTCAAGTGGTAGAGCAGAAAAAGCTAAGTGATAATGCCCAGAATTCAAGTCCCAGTACACACACACACACACACACACACACACACACACAGTAACCATTGTTGGGGGACTGGTTGGGTAAATGTAACCCATCTAAGTACTTCTAAGCCTATTAAATTGAAATGCTATAGGTCAATGGGCTCTTCCAGAAAAGGGTGTCCAGGCCACTTATGGGATACTTAAGTAAAGAGAGCAAAGTTTAAAGAACCGTTTCTTGGAAAACAAAGTGGTAAAATTTTCCATTCTACTCCTGGGAACGTATACTCTGGGGAAATCCTCGCAGATGCCCACACCCAAGTCCACAGCAGCACTGCTTGAGATAACACAAGTAAACCAGCCAAATTACCCATCAATAGGAGAGCGGACTACTTTTGTACTACACATTTGCACTAAAGAGTTATTACACAGCAGAGGAAATGGATGAGCTTCAGTCATATGGATGACTTGTAGAGACATGAAAAAGATAAATGTTGGAAGATGAGTGAAATGATACAGCATTATTTAAGCACAAAGCAACAGTAGCTCAGCTCTTACAGCAGGGCCTGAAGATAGCTTTACCTATTACAATGATGACAGGTTTTTTGTGGGGTTTTTGTTTTCAGTCATGGGGATTGAACTCTGAGCCTGGGTGCTGTCCCTGGAGCTCTTCAGCTCAAGGCTAGCGCGCTACCACTTAAGCCACAGTACCACTTCTGGTTTTCTGGTGGTTTATTGGAGATAAGAGTCTCACGGGTTTTCCTGCCCAGGCTGGCTTTGAACCATGATCCTCAGATCTCAACCACCTGAGTAACTAGGATTACAGGCGTGATAACAGTTTATAAAACAAAAAACGAGGGCTGGGAAGGTGGCTCAGTGGTAGAGTGCTTGCCTCACATGCATGAGGCCCTGGGTTCCATTCCTCAGCACCACATAAACAGATAAAGCCAGAAGTGGCGCTGTGGCTCAAGTGGCAGAGCACTAGCCTTGAGCTGAAGAGCTGAGGGACAGCGCCCAAGCCTAGAGTTCAAGCTCCACAACAGACAAAAAAAAAGTCAAGAACACAGTTGTAGTCCGGTACCTGTGGCTCACTCCTGTAATCCTAGTTACTCAGAAGGCTGAGATCTGAGGATCACGGTTCAAAGCCAGCCCGGGCAGGAAAGTCTGTGACACTCATCTCCAATTAACCACCAGAAAACTGGAAGTGGTGCTGTGGCGCAAATGGTAAGAGTGCTCACCTTGAGCTGAAGAGCTCAGGGACAGCACCCAGGCCCAGAGTTCAAGCCCCACAATCGACAAAAAAAAACAACAACACAGTTCTGTCCCCAAGGGAGGATATGAAAAGGTGTACACATGGTAGTAATAGTCTAGTCTGTAAGAGGGACTTGAATTCAAGATGTTCATAATATTCTTAAGCGTTATGTTACAAATATGACATTATGTATACAAGGTAAACCGCACAGAAAAGAGAAAAAGATAAAGCAAATGAAAATGAGATGTACTTGCATTAAGATTAAAGTGTTGGGGGGGGGGGGGAAATTAATGTGTTATGGGCATATTGGCACACACATGTAATCTCAGCACTCAGGAGGCTGAGGCAGAAGTACCTAGTCCAAGGTCAGATTGGGCAACACAGTGAGACCCCACCTCATAGCCAGGCACAGGTAATCCTAGTGAAGAGGCTGAGATCTGAGGATCACAGTTCCAAGCCAGCTTGGACAGGAAAGTTTGTGAGATTCTTATCTCCAGTTAGCTACTAAAATGCCAGCAGTGGAGATATGGCTCAAGTGGTAGCGCATCAGCCTTTAGTGAAAAAGCTAAGCAGGAGCCTGAAGCTGAATTCAAATCCTAGTGTGCTAGCACATATGCACAGGGCACAACAGCACATGTGTACACACACACAAACACACACACACACACTCAAGTCACCACATGACACGTTAATAGTAGTTCTGGAATGCTATTTGGGACATTTTTTTTCTTTTGGCTCAACTATATTTTTTCAAAAATTAAGAAAATGGTCACACAAGATTTTTTGTTTTAATTACAATTTCTGGGCATCAGTGACTCAATCCTATAATCCTAGCTACTCAGGAGGCTGAGATCTGAGGATCAAGGTTCAAAGCTAGCCTGGGCAGGAAAGTCTATGCGACTCTTATCTCCAATTAACCACCAAAAAAGCCAAAGTGGAACTGTGGTTCAAGTGGTAAAGCCCCCAGGCCCTAAGTTCAAACCCCAGGACAGTACATGCACAAAAACAATACAATTCATACAATGTTTGTAAAGCTCCTGAAAAAGTGTGGACAGAATCCACCCCTGACAACAGAAGGAATTCCAGGATGGATGTGAGCAACGGGAGTGAAGTCACTCTCACTTTTAGCTTTATAAGCTTCTACATTCTTTGTAGGGTACTCATTCAGTAAATTATTAGCACTTTGCTGTTAATTTACCAAATTAGTAAATTTGTTACTTTTTTAACTGCTAAACAGGTCCTTGGTGGCTGCACCTTTAATCCTAGCTGCTCAAAAAGCTGAGATTTCGAGGCTTGAGGCTTAAAGCTAGACTCCATCTCCAATTAACCAGCAAAGAAGCTGGCCTGAAGGTGTGGCTCAAGTAGTAGAGCACCAATTATAAGCAAAGATTAGCCTGCTTGAAGCAGAATTCAAGCTCCAGTACTGCCCACCCCCCAAGACAAGTACAGACTGTCGCCAAAGTTCAAAGCCAGACCATGAGATTCTTATCACCAAATAACCAGCTAAAAGCTGTAAGTGGAGATTTTCAAGTGGTAGACAATTATGTAGGAGGATTTCTAGCCCCCAGAGTGTAAAAGCACCAGCCAGAGGGGGTGGAACATGGATGAATGCGTGTCTTCCCTTTGGAAGCCTACCTGATCCCACCCAGGTGGGGCCAGAGGCAGAACAGAAAACTAGGAAGGAAAGGCAGTCAGGTGGGAAGCACCGTGGCCTGAGGCCACGTGGTAAGGTTCCCCAGAGGTGGTATTTTGCCTCCAGCTCTTCTGCACTCAGGCCCACCAGCAGGAAAGTGAGAAGGTGCCAGATTTAGACCTGAAGCTCCCCTCAGCCTAAGGCTCTAAGCCAGCCTGGACTGACAAAAACAGCCTTACCTTAAACACCTAAAACCAAGCCAGGCACCTGTAATCCTCACTACTCAGAAGGCTGTGATCTGAGGATGGAGCCTCAAAGCCATCCCAGACAAGGAAGTCTAGACTCTTATCTCCAATTAACCAAACAAACAAACAAACAAAACAACCAGAAGTGGGTTGGGAATGTGGCTTAGTGGTAGAATGCTTGCCTAGCATACACAAAGCACTGGGTTCAATCCTTAGTACCATATACACAGAGTTCAAGCCCCTGGACTGGCAAGGAAAGAAAGGAAGGAAGAAAGGAAGAAAGAAAGAAAGAGAAAGAGAGAAAGAAAGAGCTAAGGGACAAAGCCCAGGCCCTGAGTCCAAGCTCCAGTACAAGCACAAAAAGAAAAGAAAACCAAGATTAAGACCAAGACCTAGAGGGAACAGGGCTTGCCAGACTCCCCAGAGCTGTGCACACAGGGCCGCTGGAATCCAAGCCTTCCTTTCAGCTCTGACAGAAAAGCCAGTGGGAGAGGACAGTGACCAGGAGGTGGAGGCCTGGGCTGGCCCGGAGCACCATGCTTATCTAGAAGCACAAAGTACCTTTGTCCTCCCAGACAAAGCCTGGGACACAGGTGGCCCCAAACCCAGGATGCTGGAGAATGAGCACCAGATCTGGTCCTGGGACACTTTGGGGCTGTGATCCTCACCCGGCTTCCCATCCAGGCTCAGATGGAGGTTGGGCAGATCATCAGTGGAACCATGAAATGGACAGAAAAGCAGAGTCCTAAAGAAGAGCTCCACACCTAGGTGCACCTCTTCTCCACAGAGATGTGG